CAAGTCATGAAACTAAAATATGAAGCTAATAAGTATGTACCAAAAACTTAAAAATATAAAAAGTCTAACATGATCATTTATACGAAGTATTACAATGTATTCTAGGACTATAATATAGAATATTAAATAATATCACAAATATGACTATTAGTTATTTAAGACGTTATAATAATAGAAGGTTATGGGAGTAAATAAAATAAACATCATTAAATTTTATATTAAAGAAAATTAAAAAAAATGATTTTTAGATTCTTAATATACTACATGTTTAATATAATTAATATACTCTCCCAGATCTCGCTCTCTCACTTCCCTCTCTCACTTTATACAAAAACGCAAATGTATAAAATGCGTGAAAATTGTATATATATATATATATACATATTTTCGTTCTCCTCTCTCCCCTCTCCCAGATCTCACTTGCCACTCTCCCAGATCTCACTCGCCACTCTCCCAGATCTCGCTCGCTCACTCGCCTCTCTCACTTTATACAATTGATCTTTTTTGTATATGTATACCAAAGCAGATTATACAACTGCTTTCTTTTGTATATGTAGAGCGAAATATACATATTTATGTTTGCTATGGAGCGCAATTATGCAAAGTTTGCTATAGCATACAAATATGAATTTTGTGTTTGCTATATATGTGAGAGAGGGAAGTGAGAGAGCGAGATCTGGGAGAGTGGCGAGCGAGATCTAGGAGAGGGGAGAGAGGGGAACGAAAATATATGTATATATACAATTTTCTCTCGTTTTATACAAACACAAACGCATTTTATACAATTTGCCGTTTTTGTATAAAGTGAGAGAGGCGAGTGAGAGAGCGAGATCTGGGAGAGTGGCGAGCGAGATCTGGGAGAGGGGAGAGAGGGGAACAAAAATATATGTATATATACAATTTTCTCTGGCTTTATACAAACACAAACACACTTTATACACTTGCGTTTGTATAAAAAACGAGAGAGGCGAGGGAGAGAACGAGAGTGGCGAGCGAGATTCACCAGGAGAGAGGTTAAATAGCAATAGTTTGCTATGGGGTACAATTAAATCAAACTATATTTATAGCATTTAATTTGAATTAATAGTTTGCTATTATATACAATTTTCCCTACTTTTAAATATTATATAAATAGGGCAGAAAAGGAAATAGACCAATGAACCCTTTTCCAGCCTTTATTAACGTTTAATTACGGTTTCAAAATTATTCAATATTTAATTTGATATTAAAATTAACAAAAATATCTCAACTAAAACACAAAAGAATTTCATAAGTTATTTATGGAGTATTGTATTGCCTCAATTTAACTTTCAAAAAACAAAATAAAATTGAAATTCAAGCGTCCTATCAAACTTACAAAAGGTTCAAATTCCATGAATTTGTTTGAGAGTTTTACATGTGCAATTTAAACTCACGTATATATTTTTGAAAATTTTTCATATTTTTTTAGTCGAAAAAAATTTATTTATTAAAGCAATGATTTACATTGTTGCCACAAGGTGATTTATATGACTATGGTTTATACGCGCTTATAAAATCGGATTCGGCTCCTCTCCATTTCCCCCAAGTTCCTATTTGGATTAGTGACACATGACATAGGTTAAAATAAATGGTTAAGATTTAGTTTCCCAAAGTAAACCTCTAACCATGATTTAATTAATAAATACATTATATATTAAGTATTAAAATTATTATAATCTCACAATCTTAGCAACATATTATCTTATCCATAAATATAGAAAAAAAAAGTTCTCTTCTTAAATATTTTTTTGTACGTAAGATCTTTTTTTAATTTTCTTTTAAATAATCTTTTTATCTTAATCTTTTAAATTTTAATTATCTAAAAGAAAATTTTAAAAAAATCCTACGTAAAAAACAAATTAGGAAGAGAACTTTTTTCCCCTATATTTATGGACAAGATAATATGTTGCTAAGATTGTGAGATTATAATAATTTTAATGTATTTATTAATTAAATCATGGTTAGATTTACTTTGGGAAACTAAATCTTAACCATTTATTTTAACATATGCCATGTGTCACTAATCCAAATAGGAACTTGGAGAAAATGGAGAGAAAATAAATGGAGATGAGCTGGATCCTATAAAATCCAGCTATTCAGATATTTTTTACACGAAAAAGGCCTAAAATACCCTCGAAGTATAGGAAATGGTACAAAACTACCCTCCATCCACCTATTGGCTCCAAAATAACCTTGTCATCCACCTTTGGGTTCAAAATTGACCACTTATTTAACGTTTTAAATTTAAACTATTTAAATAGTTTTTAAAATACATGGCGCTCAACTATTGGTTATAATTTAATTTATTGATATAATTTATAAACCCATCCATTTACACCCATTAATAATTAAACCCGACCCAATTAATAAACCCGCCCCAAATCCACCTATTAAACTAAACATGAACCCTTCCTTTCTAATGTTGTCTTCCTCTCAGTCAATTTCTCCTATGTTTAACAAAACCCTCCATTGATTTCCAAGTTTCAGATGCAAAATTGCCTAGTTAATTTTCTATTTTATGGTTGGATTTTAATGGAATTGAAAATCCCAAGAACCAATCTTGAATTTTTGAAAAATTGATTCATGATGAAAGACTGATAGAAAAATTTCTCCTAGAATTATAAGATTAGTGTTTTGCTTCTTTCTCAATTAACTAGTCTATATTACTATCTCTAGCTCTTGTTTGGTTATAATAGTTGAGCGCCATGTATTTAATTTTTTTTAAAAATAGTTTAAATTTAAAATCGTTAAATAAGTGGTCAATTTTGGACCCAAAGGTGGATGACAAGGATATTTTGGAGCCAATAGGTGGATGGAGATAGTTTTGTACCATTTTTAATATTTCAAGGGTATTTTAGGCCTTTTTTGTTTTTTATATACACTTTCTATTCATTATGAATGGATATCTGATTGTAAGTACCATCGAAATTAAATTTAAAGCCATTCATCATGGGAGAGAACCATTTAGTGTTGATATCAATCTTTCTTATACTATTTTTGGTGAAGCCGATAGAATATTTAAATTCAAGGGGAGTATTATTGTACATTTTCCATATTCAAACCTACGGTAGATAATTTTCAAATATTTTTCCAATTTACTTTGCATACTGGTCCAAAAAGTAGCCAAGACGCCGATTACTTTGAAAAAAATGGCACGATGTGATATGTTACAAATCAAATTGATAGAAAATAATGGTTTTTAACTATTTGGCAAATAATGGATTTTTCATACTTAATAGTGTCAGTCAAACTAGTATTTGATGAACGAATAAGTTTAGTAAAAATATGAATTTTTTAAGCTATTGTTTTCAATTTATTCCTTTTTTTTGGGCACATCTTTGTCATTTTTCTCTCTTTTAGAATTTTATTCACTCTTTATTTTATTTTTTTTACCTAAACTCTGTACTTTAGAAATTAATTACTAATTACAACCATGAATCTTCCTTTTTAAATAACTTGGAAACTTATATATATATATATCAAATAAACGACAGTAAATATGATAATTTTCAAGAAAATTATACTTATTTTACCATCATTAGTAATATAGTATTAAATCAATTCTTTTATGTGCTGAAAATATAAATATTAAAAACAGATCAACTGAGCAAAATCAAATAAAGAAGATTCATCATTGTATGCATAATGCATAATTTACTTTTATTGTATAAAGAATTTATTATAGTACTATTATATATTGCTATAAATATCTATATTACTTTTAATGTATAAATTTTTTTTATAGTGCTATTATATATTGCTATAAATATCTATATTACTTTTAATGTATGGAGAATTTATTATAGTACTATTATATAATGCTATAAATATCTATATTACTTTTAATATATAAACAATTTATTATAATACTATCTATAGTAATAAATAAAAAAAGTCACTAAAATCAATAATTATTTATTAAAAGATATTCTACCAAATAATTTTTCCTTTCTTCACATGCTTTCCTTTTTATCATTGGACAAAACAATTTCCACATGTATGCTTTTTTTACTCTTTATCAACCGACATAATTGAACTTTCTTATATATGTGGGCCATCTTCTTTTCCCATTTCGGACTTTTTGGTTCACTTTGTATTTGTTTGAGTTTTCTTGTGGAAAAGATTTGAGAGAGTTGTTGATACAAATGATTCATATAAATCTTTTATTTTATTAAATTAACAAATTAAAAGAAATTTATTACTATCTTTAATATTAAATAGTTATATAAAATTATATTTTTAATGAAAGTGTCTGTTCAAAATGGGCCAAATAGTAGGAAAAATGGTATAAAATAACAAACTATTAATTCAAAATAAATGTTATAACAGTTTCATTTAATTTTAATTCATAACAAACACTTTGTCATTCGCCTCTCTCACTTTATACAAACACAAATGTATAAATTGTGTTTGCATAAAGCGAGAGAGAACTCTATATACAAATACAAATATATATCTCTTCGTCTTATACACTTATAATTATACAAATACAAATTTTCGCTTGCCCAGTTCTCTTTTGACTCTCGCTTTATACAAACATAAATTATACAAAATACAATGTATAATTTGTGTTTGTATAAAGCGAGAGAGATATTTGATATACAAATACAACTGTTTTTAACTCAATTCAATTGTATACGAATTCAAATTTTATGTAGATACACAAACACAAATAGCATATACAAACACATTTTTATGTAGATACACAAACACAAATAGCATATAAAAACACATTTTTCAGACACATACACTTGATTTATACAAATCACTGCGATTTATATAAATTTGATGCTTAAAATTATAACTATAGAGCGCTAATATGATTTTTATGTTTGCTAAACCTAAAATTTACTCACTAGTGAGACCAAACGAAGACAATGATATTCTTAAAAAAATAAAACAAAGATATTTTTTTTAAAAAAAATAAAAGAAAGAAAAAGGAGTGAAGCATGTGGGAGAGCATATAACACGAGAGATTCTCAAGTGCAAGGGAGAGAAATAGGAAGAAAAATTTAGTAAGACACAAAGGCTTCCTTCTCTACACTCAAATCTTCTGTTCAAGGTTTAAATTCAACATTTTCTACTACTTTTGTTGTTGTAATTTTGAGTAAAAATTGCCTCACTCTTTTCTACTTCAACACTATGTTTGTGTTAACTTACGAGTAGTATCGTAATGTGTTAAACATAAGTTAAAATTTGGTACCGAAACTTAGATGTATTGTACACATGATTGTTCCAGTGCCTTTGCAAATGTGGTGGGCACACCAGATCTGTATACTCTCTTTCTTTAACTGATTGAGAGAATTCAGTTGCTGCAGCAGAGTTCAGTTCAACAAATTTTATGTTTCCTAAATTATTTTGCAGAGCTAGAAGAATTGAAGGTTGAAAAACATGGCGACTGTAATTGGAGCTCATAACTTTGCTGCTTTGAAGACCGTTTATGAAAGACCATCGTTGCGGTGGATTCTGCAACCCAGAATGCAGCTGACATTTTCAGGCCGGAGGATGAATCTGCAATCTAAGAGTTCTGATGAGGTCTACTTCTTCACTTTTTGCTTAAATCTGAATCTGTCATTGCACATGCCCAATTTTATTACTATAATTATAATCTTCGTAAGCCTTGACGGACAAAGTTACCGACCATTTTGAGTGAAAATCTCACCTAATCCGTTTGACTGAATTTCTGCAACGTTTACCTAGTAATAGAATTATCATTTAAAGGCAATCAACTCGTGGTTTTGTATCACTTTGTAGTCTTCAATTATTCTTTTTTTATTTTCTAATTAAAGAAATTGGTCTATCGAAAATAGTCTTTCTACATTCACAAATCACAAAGTACGGATAAGGTTACATATGCTCTACCCTCTCCAGATCCACTTGTGGATTTCATTGGGTATGTTGTTGTTTGTTCTTTTCCTTGATTTTTCGTTGTTTGATTATGTTTACAGGTTGAAGGTTCACCATTTGACCATAAAGGGTTATTACAGAGTCCAGAATTATATCAGGTCCTCTATTTTTTCGTCTTTCAAATTCTTCTTCCCAATTTTTTGTTCAATTTACTAATCATCCATTCTTCTGAAACATCACCAGTACATTTTGGAGACTAGTGTTTATCCACGAGAACCCGCGCCTCTTAAAGAGATCAGGGCTATAACAGAAAATCATCCTTATTTTTTCATGGGTGCATCACCTGATTCAGGTCAATTGATAGCCATGCTGTTGGATATGTTAAATGCCAAAAACACAATTGAACTCGGAGTCTTCACCGGTTATTCTCTGCTTCTCACTGCTCTTACAATTCCTGATGATGGCAAGATCCTAGCAATTGACCCGAATTTCGAGTCTTATGAAATGGGCCTGCCAATCATTCAAAAAGCCGGTGTTGAGCATAAGATCGATTTCAAACACTCTCCGGCTTTACCTGTTCTTGACAAACTCCTGGAAGATGATAATAACAAAAGTAGCTTTGATTTTGCATTTGTGGATGCGGATAAAACTAATTACGGAAACTATCACGAGAGACTAATGCAGCTGGTGAAAGTTGGAGGTTTGATTGTGTATGATAACACACTCTGGTATGGATCAGTTGGTATGCCAGAGGAAAGTGTTGACAAGTTGATGAGACCAGAAAGAAGTTACTTAGTTGAGTTAAACAAATCCCTTGCTGCAGATACCCGAATTCAGATTTCTCAAGTTCCATTAGGTGATGGAATGACCATCTGCAGGAGACTTTTTTGACGTAGGTACAAGTCTTAGTTGAAGTTTCACCTGCAGATGACCATCGCTTCAATACCATATTAGTATTGATTTTGTCTTAAGAAGTCATGTCGCTTGTCAATACTTTCATCAAATAAGGTTTGATTAATCATCAAATAAATGAAATTTTCTTGGAGGGTTATATGCTTATATATATAAAGGAACCATAGTAACTTTTTTTACTCGTGATTAGCTTGATGATGTTATAAATAATATGTCAACCTTCGTGTAGTGTCACTATTTTGTTTATGATTATGTGGTACATATGGAAAGAACGTAATGTAAATTAGATGGAATAAAAATGTTCATCTATTGATGTTATGTGAGCGTATTACTAATTACGTATATGCTAGGGAAATTGTTGAACTAATTCATGTGTTCTTCAAATTTAATCGTATCGATTTAAAGAAAACCAACTTCTTTACTTGACAAATGGACATATTTCGGTCCCCCTTTCAAAGACTTTACTTTCTCTCTTGACAAACTCCCCCTTTATCTTCTTGTTCTCATTTCTCTTCTACAAAACAAATTGTAGTTCATGTTTACTAATTAAAAAAAATAATCCTCCATCAGTATCCTAATACACTAGGGGAAAAAAGCGAATAATTTTCACAAATAACCACCCAAAAATAACTTAATTATGTTCCATAACTATAATTTGCTAATTACGATTCATAGCTACATGTTATAGGGAGGGGAGTGGCGAGCGAGATTGAGGGAGGGAGGAGAGGCGAGCGAGACAGGGCAGAGAGTAGAGAGAGACAAATTTTATATGTATATCTGTCAAAATAATTGTATATATGTTACTGGTATACATATGTATTTGTATATCTAGCGAGCGAGATTGACAGATGGAGGAGAGAGGCGAGCAAGATTGGGAGAGGGAGGAGAGAGGCGAGTGAGAGAGGACAGAGAGTGGAGAGAGGCGAACTGTATATGTATATCGGTTAGATAATTTTATATATGTAACTACAATGTATATGTATCAATTATTGGATTTGTATACCTGTATACAATTTAAATTCATATACAATTGAATCGAGTTAAAACATTAGTATTTCTATATCCAATCTCTTTCCCGTTTTATACAAACACAAATTATACATTGTATTTGTATAATTTGTGTTTGTATAAAGTGAGAGAGAAATTGGCAGAAGAGAAGCGAGTGAGAGATTGGGCAGGGAGAGGAGAGAGGCGAGGGAGAGATGACTGAAAAAGAGGAGAGTGACGAGCGAGATTCCAGAGATGAGAGAGGTGAGAGAGAGATAGAATGTAATTATAACTAGAAGTAAGTTCCAAATTGTAATTAATGCAAACTATAACTATGTTAGCTAATTAGTTAGTATATATTTGCCTAACCGCGTGATTTTCTAAAAATAATAATAAAAAATTAGTAAATTTGGTAGAAATTGGCCGGTAACATTAATTAAGAAGATAAATGAGGAAATTCATAGTCATTATCATTTTCAATTTCAACTCCCATAACTAAAAAGTTCTCAGAAAGTATGAAACATAAAATCCAATCGACCCCAAATTGAAATTATTTTGTCCATAAGAAATGAAGGTAATATAGGTAGGAGTTTGGAGGAAGTCTTAAAATATGGTACCCAAATTTGTCCATTTGTAAAGTAAAGAAATCTCTCACGCAAGTATGAGTTGGCATGCGAGACACCTAGCTTTTTTTCGGTGGAAGAACCGATAAAACAAGAGATTCTCAAGTGCAATGAGAGAATTTATATTCCGCATTGAAAGTACTTGACTCTGAATCTACATCCATCCCAAAAAGCAACTAGCATTTTCAGGTCGGAGGATGAATCTTCATTCTAATGCTTCTGATCAGGTCTATTTCTTCATCCTCTACATTGACGGACAAAGTTACCTGATAAATGTAATAAGTTTATTAATATTTAATTTTTTGTTATTTGATTATGTTTACAGGTTGAAGGTTCACCATGGGACAACAAAGGCTTATTGCAGAGTCAAGAATTATATCGATATGTTTTGGAGACTAGTGTTTACCCTCGAGAACCAGAGCCTCTCAAAGAAATCAGGCCTATAACTGCAAATCTCCCTGATTTTTACATGGGAACAACACCTGATTCAGGTCAATTGATAGCGATGTTGTTGAATCTATTAAACGCCAAAAACACAATTGAACTCGGAGTGTTCACAGGATATTCTCTGCTTCTCACTGCTCTTACAATTCCTGATGATGGCAAGATTCTAGCAATTGACTCGAATCTCGAGTCTTATGAACTAGGCCTGCCAGTCATTCGAAAAGCTGGTGTTGAGCATAAGATCAATTTCAAACACTCTCCAGCTTTACCTGTTCTTGACAAACTCCTGGAAGACGATAAAAACAGAGGTAGTTTTGATTTTGCATTTGTGGACGCGGATAAAACTAATTACGGAAACTATCACGAGAGACTAATGAAGATGATGAAAATTGGGGGTTTGATAGTGTATGATAATACACTATGGTATGGAACACTTGCGATGCCAGAGGAAAGCGTTCACAAGTTGATGAGATCAGAAAGAAGTTACTTACTTGAGTTCAACAAATTCCTTGCTGCAGATACCCGAATTCAAATTTCTCAAGTTTCGTTAGGTGATGGAATGACCATCTGCAGGAGACTCTTTTGACTGACGAAAAAATAGGTACAGGTCTTAGTTGAAGGTGTTTGAAATGAAAATATTCGAGCAACTTTAAGTGTCTAGCAATAAATTTGCCTTATCCTAAAGCAAATAATCCTAATAAAGTCGTGGTATGTTTGTCTACGAAGCAATTAGGCGAGACATGTTAGGAACTAGTTTTGCTAGAAATATTCGTGTAAATAAAATAAGACCCATTTATCTTGTAATGACGTTGTTTAGCTAATACTATAAGAGGTCGTTTGGTAGAGTTTCCCATTTATCTTGTAATGACTATGTTTAGCTAATACTATAAGAGGTCGTTTGGTAGAGTTTCCATTTATCTTGTAATGACTATGTTTATATAATACTACAAGCCTCACTATAAAATTGTGGAGCATAAAACAAGGGCTAAACTTGAACTAAATTGATGGGTTACGAATCTATTACTGCAACCTTTCTAGGGCATTTCGCTGTTAGAGCAATGAGAGGTGGAGTCTACTTGTCGTCAAACTTGTTCAGACGACAAGTAGAGCTATTAATGAAGATGGTAGATATTTGTTGAATGTCAACAAGATTTTTCTTAAACACATCTAGAGAAAAACAAAGGAATGTGCCAATTTGATGGTAAATAAAGGGCACTAGTATGATGAAACTTTGATAATTTCGAGAAATGCGGATATGAAAGTTTCTTCTCTTGACAGATTTAAGCAATATTGCTTTATAAAAATTGTAAATCTTTAAAGTCTTTTCCATTGTAAAAAAGTGAGTTAATACTAGATACTAATTGGACATTAAATCAACTCTTGTTCATTTTAAAATTTTGTTTATAATTTCCAAAAATGTATGGTGTAAACCTAAACATTAAAAACATGTCAATTGAGCAAAGCTGAAGAAGACAAAATTATGTATCCACTTGCTTCATTTTTCATGTTCAAATTTAATAGTAGTACAATTGAGCGTGCTTTCTATTGGGACCAGTCTGTCTGTAACTTCCTTCAAAACCATGTGCTTGACTAATAATCATTTCTTGCCAACTCTATGCAGTCTTACAAGCCCTATTAAATGTAGATAATGTACTACTCATCTCATTGAAATCCGACTAAATCTGATATTCAATATTTATAGAAAGTTTGACTAAATCCAAATTTGTGTCAGGAAGCCCTATATTAGGAGTATAGCGCTTCCTAACCACAAAAACTAAAGGAATACCATATAAAAGAGGATGTATACAAGTAGTTATGAACTAAAATATATAAAAGTTGAGAATGAGTGAAGCAAGTGGAAGACAGCAATAGAAGAAGGACAACATTCAACTCTTCATCTTCTTCTGTTCAAGGTTTAATTCAACATCATTATAACTTTTCCATTTTTCTCTAGATCTCTCTGCTTGTTTTAATTAATCTTCTACTCACAAGAGCAAAATTTCACCAACGCTTGGAAATTTTAAAGTGCAAAGTTGAATTGTTATTTTATTCCTATACTGAATCAAAATATTATAACACATGTAATTAATTGAATATTAAATAGTGAATCTCTAGAAATAAATTGTTCCTTTGATATTAACCACAAATAAAAAATACAAAAATATTTCATATTAAATTGAGTCTCTTCCCCTACTCGAATTTATTAATACATCACATACAATGCATTATAATTTTGCATCTCATATATATATATATATATATATATTTATTTTTTAAATTATTATTTTATGTCTTTTTGTGTTCTTAACTGAATTTTTCCAACAGTCAATTGAATGTTGCATTAATTGTGAAACTTTTGTCAATAAACAATTTGCACTGTAGATTTATTTGTTTTGTTCTTTGACCTTCCTCATATAGCAATTATGTATACTTCTTTCAAATTTTTACTGCACTATGTAGATTGAAGCTACAAGATGAAAATAATAGTCTTATTTTCTCATTTTACACTCAACAAAATCAGCAAGGAAATATGATGGCTTATTGAGGTAACAACTTATTTATTGTTCCTTCTATAGTTATTTTTACTTTTTTTTTTCAATAATTTTGCTCTTCCCCAATGTTTTTATACCAAATTCAAAAGTCTTTTCTTTCAAATAAATAAGCAATTCTATTACTTCCAGAACTTAAATAGTTCAATAGATGAGGAGTCGGACAGGGATGACAATAGGGCTGTTTGGGGCGGAGCGGGATGGGTTGAGCTTAACCCGTAAAAAATTTAATTCGCCCCGCTCCCGATAACAATTTTTTTCATTTTCAACCCACCCCACTCCGCCCACATAGACCTACACCTGCATGAACCCGTCCCACATAATTTTTTAATATTTTCTTTTTTCTAGTTAAGTTTGATATTAAAAATAATATTCATAAAAATACATTTATTTTTCATTAAGTTATACTCCCTCCTCCGTCCACTTTTATTTGTCATGATTTCCCTTTTTTAGAGTCAAACAATAAGATTTTTTACTAACATTTTAGGACGTATTTTTTCATCATATTGATATGCAAAAAATTGTAATTTATAAGTAGTACTTTTCGTATAGTTTTTAAATATATAAATTTTTTGTTTAAAATATCAAATTAATGTACTCTAACATAAATTTGAAAATTGGTCAAATCGACTTTCGGAAAACACAACATAACAATTATAAGTGGACAGAGGGAGTATTAATTTAATAGGATAGTGACTTAATTTTTTTATAGGTCAATTGGGAAACATGTAAGAAATTATATTATTTTTTATTGAACCATTTTCGTTTACTATCTTGAATATTTTAGTAGCTTTAAAAAAAATATCTTAATAAATAATGCTCTATCACTCTTATAACATGTATAAAGTTAAAACTAAGTTTGAACCCACATGAAATCACATATACCCGCAATCCGCCTCGTCCCGCCCCACATTAGTTTTTAAAAAAACTCACTTTAACCCGCCCTGTAGTCACCCGTTCTGTATAACCTTAAACCCGCTCCGCTCCGCATAGTCTTAAACCCACCCCACCCCACTCCATTGCCATCCCTAGAGTCGGATAACATTTGTAGTCAATATCAAATGCATAAATAAGTTAGGAGCGAAGAGCATTAGGAAATGAATGGGCATTCTCTCCATAATTGGTTCTTATATATTCTTTTTAAACATGAAGGTAATAATCGTTGCCCCTTACACTAGGAAAATAAATAGTGTTTATATTGCGTTGGTTGTTGATTTAATTGTTACTAATGTTGTTTTGATTTTGCTGTATATTTTTAGTTGTTTTCTTATATATATAATCCTGAAAGCAGATTTAACTTTGATTGGGCAAAATTAATAGTTACACCTAAACAAGCAAGGTACCTAAAACTATAACATAATACGATTTCTAACTTTATTCATAAGAGGTATTAAGGATATGTAATTATGCTTATATATATATATATATATATATATATATATATATATATAGAGTCCGACTAATCCGAATTCATTGTGTAAGACCCATTTGAGAAAAACTCTCCCTATCAAGATTTCGTTTATACCTAGGACTCGAATAGATCCTAATTTATAAGAAAGGAGAAGCCTCATACAACAAAAACCACATGCTTTCAGTACTACTAGAAAAATGTGAATTACATCGAAATTTTCTTGGAGATTATACATGAAAATCCACACGTAATTTAGTTTCCTACGAATTTCCTTACAAAAGAAATCTAATAAAAAAACCTTTAAGGTTAATTATGAGGGAAAATTGTGCATTATAGCAAACTATTAATACAAAATAAATGTTATAGCTACAGTTTCATTTAATTCTAATTTGTAGCAAACACTTTGCCTCGCCTGAATCTCACCTCCCTTGCTAGAATCTCTCTCGACACTCTCAATTCTCTCTCTCGCCTCTCTCACTTTTATTCAAACACAAATGTATAAATTGTGTTTGTATAAAGCGAGAGTGACTGTATATACAAATACAAATACATATTTCTTCATCCTATACACTTATAATTATACTAATACAAATGTTTCCCTGCCCAGTTCTCTTTTGCCTCTCTCTCTCTCTCTTCCCCCCTCTCTCTCTCACTTTATACAAGCACAAATTATACAAATACAATGTGCAATTTGTGTTTGTATAAAGCGAGAGAGATTTGATATACAAATACAAATGTTTTGTCACGACCCGATTCCTTGAGTCATGATGACACCTACTATAACCCACTAGTAGGTAAGCCAATCCATAACCCAGAACAACAAGTAATGGGTCTGAGGGCAGAAACTAAACAAGAATAGGCAAAATTTAAGATAACAATATAAACAGGCGGAAGCAACCCAAAACATAAATACAAATAAATATCCATTTCAGAACCTGGAAGTCACTAATACAGAGCTACTGACAAAACGAGTACAAGTCCCAAAAGTGGACCACAAATGACTGGACTGTCTCGAAAGGTAAAAGACAAGTCTATATATACAGATGGAGACTGAAATAGTACAAAACATCGTGTGCTCAATCCCGTCTTCGGATCAGACTACTCCAAACTGGATCAATGCTGGCCACTGGTACTTGGACATGTATCACGAAATAGATGCAGAGCGTGGCATGAGTACCAAAACAGCAGGTACCCAATAGGAATCATAGGCTGACTGAACTTGAAAAGTAAAGGCAATATGAAAAGAAGGAATAACACAAACAAATGTCAAGAATAGAAATCTAAGTAACAATGGAATGCACACGAGTGTAGAAAGAACTACCTAAAGTAATCTATAAGCTAACTACACATAACTGGACCCCCATAAGCCCAGAAGGTACACTCATGCGCAAATTTAATTAAAAACCTGAACGGACCCCCATAAGCCTGGCGAGTACACAAAATAACTATAACTAAAGAGAATTGCATATGAGAACATCGAACCAGAACCTCAACCCCAATTAGTAGAATCTGACAGTACGGATGCCAGACCTCGAACCGGATGCTCACCAGAAGTATCAAGTAACTGAGGCCGGACCTCTAACCGGATGCTCTATATAAGTATCTGGGCGATAGAGGTCAGACCTTAAA